AGCTACTGTTTAGGCAGGTGTTTTGTTTTTCTTTTCTTTATGCTTAGTTGTCTTCATTTACCACTTTTCTTGGATAGAGTTTTCCTTTGGAATATACTTTGTTAGTATTTTTATTCGTCTTTTTATTGCGTTTTCTTTTAGCAGGAATTCTGTTGGATTTTGATTTTTATTTGAATTGATTTGAATTGAAATACATATCCCTTATTTTTATTTTTAAATATCGCAAAAAAGAATTTTTACCACGGAGGTCAGTGTTTGTATGACGTATTAAAATATTTAGCTGATTTTTGTCAAATTTATCTAAGGAGGATATAAGTGTTATATGATTACATGACGAATACAAAATAAATACCTTTTTATAAGTACTTTCACACTGTCCAGTAATATTTTTTTTTAAATAATCTTTTTATGTATTCTGATATTTTGAATTGCATGTACATTGGGCTTATAATTTTCTTCACAAAGACCCTTGTTGAAGAAATGCTATAAAATTACCAATAATTCTACTTTAGTTACCGTATTTATTTTATCTTAAATAGAGCTCACACCATTGCGATTGGCTGTTGGTTAACTTCCAATCAAAGGCGTGACAGAGGGGTAGGGTTTGCCTTATAATATAAGTCACTGGCTGCAGGCTGTCAATTTAGATGGTGGGGGCGCATCAGAGAGACTGATCAGCTTTGATGGAGTCGATTTGGTGAGGGGAGTATAATGTTTGAAAGACCTGAAACTGCCAAATGACCCAATTCAGAACATCACTGAGGACGACCTCTAGCACTAAAGAGCGTATAATCAAACTAATTTGATACTGTTTTGTATGGACATCCGTATTTTTTTTTTAAATCGCCACGTTTATACATACAAACACACACACAAACAAGCGCGCGATCACACAAGAATTCAAATTTCATTTTAAAATAATTTAATTGTAGCAAGCTCTTTTATTTATGATTTGTAAATACAGTCTTTAATTAATGAAAATATCACTTGACCGCTACAAATTACTACAGAATTTTAAAACATTTAAATGGTTATAAATTATTCTAATAATCAATCTAAATAAATGAAAGCAGTTTATTATTCATCGACAAAGTTTGATTCTTAAGACAGTGGTATGCATAATATATTTTATTCATGAAAGCAATTAAAAGTTCTTTTAATTAAATGATATCTTAGTTTCAATTTATTTTTGATTTAAGGATTCAGAGCACATTTTCTATAACCGCTGGTCCTGTTTCACCAATTAAATTGATGTTTTGAAATTTCCAAGTACTGGTCATTATAACTAATATAAACATTGACTGCTACAAAAAAGAATCGGTTCCACTTTCATGAAAATAAAAATAAAAAGTGTGTGGTGGGGGATAAAAGATATACAATTTTTTTTTTTTTTCAAAAATAATTTTATTTATTTCTAAATAAGTCCGGAAACTTGCATTGACGCACGGCAATATCCAAATGTCTTTTTAAGCGCACAAATTTCCTAAAATCAAAAAATTAAATAATTAATTCTGTATATATCAAAATATTTTCGTTTTTTCTCTTAATCAATTTGGTCATGTTTCATAATGTATAGGGTGTGATGGGTAAATTGTCGCCATTTTTTATTTTTAATTTCATTCATACGTGTTGTTTATTTTTGCTTTTGTCAACAACACTGTATAGTCTCTTCTTTGTCTTGTAACGGCATTCACCCGGGGTGGGTTGAGCCGGCTCCAATATTGGAGTTTCATGGGAATTTGGAATTCACAAGCGGTCCCAAACCATCATGTATAGGCTTCAGATCAGTTCCCAGGAAACCAACAGCCCGACAACAGCACATAAGATTTGATTATGGTGGTGAAGGTTTCGTGCAGGACCATTATCACTTTTTGAAGGGCCGAATACAGAGACCTGGTGCACCAAGTGCCACAATGTCCCCAAACGACCCTCCTCAGGTTTTGAATTCAGAGTTTTCCTTCTCCTAGACCAGTTGCCATCCAAGGCTATAGAACACAGTCTGTCCTGCTATTTACCCATAGCTGGAGGGAGAAGAGGATTCATACCTTTCCCAAGGGTTTTAGCACGTAAGTGAATGTAATGGATTCGAGTGAAATTTGAACTCGGCTCTCCGATTTCTCAATCCAAGTCGATATCCATTATTCCAGCGTACATAGCAGGGTCATTTGGGAAAAAAAAGAGCACTATGACGCAGAAATTTAGAAACAGCATGCTGTACTGCTTGGCATTCGCGCCGAAAGCTCTAATACGAACTTTTCAAAGAGTTTATGTGTCAATCTGAGGAAGAAGGAGAGGATTGGGAAAGGCTTGGACGAGTCTCATGGTCATTAGGAAGGTACGGCAGATATTCCTGATATATATATATATATATATATACAAATACATATTTTATTCTTACGAATCTATTGTGAAAAGAAAATAGTTGTCAGCATTAAATAACCCATAGAGTTCGATTTGCCGTAATACAAAACAAACCAGCCAAACAAATTAACCTATTATATCCCCAATAGAGATAAGGGCATTGTTAGGCGTGTCAACGATGAAGGGATGTCAACAGTAGTAGGTTACATTTTTGTGATGAGCATTATTATGGAAAAGCTCATAGGACTAGACGTCAGTTTGAAATCTACTCGCTTTTTCAGCTCGCTAAGACGATAAAACTTATTCTACACGAACATCCTTTGAACAAATGACGAACGGACTATAGACAGTATTAATGTAATTTTTAATGAATCTAGTGAAATCAAAGAAAGAAATTTGCATAAATAAATAAGAGATCGATAAATAGCTACAACGAAGCAGAGATCAATAGAAATACAGTCGTTCCCAAAATAAAGATTCTATGCAATAAATAGCTCGTTCTGCTGCTCGGAAAGTTCATTCAATATGTCTTGTTTAGACAATTTTTTTCTTGGCAGAATCTTTCTTACACAAGCCAACCATTCGTATATGCTTTGAATATTACTACCATATTTAGTCTAATGTTTCTGCTATGTATTTCGAGATTCTTGACAAAATCCAAAGAAGAATCTGCTATGTTGTCGATCATGACATCTTGGTTCCACTTACTTTCCCATCTTTTAATGTAGCTTTCCTGTGTCGTTTTTACAAACATTTTCATGGTAATTGAAATGTCTTGCCAGAATCTGTCTTACACATTTATAAATTTACCATTCTTCAATGCATTGAATATATAAAATCCAAGGAAGAATCTGCAATGTTAGAGGTATTGACATGGCATCTTGTTTTCAGGCACCTCCCCACGACTATAATGCATCCTCCTTTTGCTTTTGTAAATATAACATTTTAATGGTAATTGATGATCTTTCCTCTTTCGTATCACGATTTTACGAATTCAAGCTCAGTACTAGATTGGCAGTTAGGTCTCATCATTTTACAGTTTAAATTATCAGATGTATACCGTAAGTTCTATGTTAACAGTTTCTTCTATGACACTTCTTTGTAAAAGCTCTCTTCCTTCCTCTTGCATTCTAGACAACTTTGGACTTTAAAACTTTAAATTCAGTATCAGTCATTGTCCTATATTTTTAATTCCTGTTCTTACATTAATAATGTTGTCTCTCCTTAATAACATTTACTTCTTCTCATATATTATTGCATATGTATTATCCCATTTTCACTATTTACGTTGTTCTGACTTGTCCTAATCTTTCTTGCCATATTCATATTTTGGAATTTCAAGCTATACCATTTATTTCGTCCACCAGGATAGAGTGTTTTAGTTCCATCACCTAAAGAAGGCCAAAACATACAACAGCCGAAACGTCCTTTATATGGCAACAAAGATAAGGGCAACAGTCCAAACAATGTAAATAGTGTAAAAAATTCAAATACCTCATCTCACAAATATAGACAGATACTATGACATATATATATATATATATATATATATATATATATATATATATATATATATATATATTTAATTTAAAGAAAAACAGAACCCTTTTTAAAACTCCATTTGTTATAATTTATTTCACCAGAGAATTTTATTTTTCTCTGGATCTTCAGACTTCACTTTCAAAGGTGAAACGAAAAATGTATCTAAAATTTACACTTTTGACGGACAGTATTAAGTTTATATAAGTTCATATAGAGGGTGATGAGGGATAGTGTGAGAGACATGGTCAATTATAGAGAGGCAGGGGAGAGTTTTAAAAGTTATTTTTATTTTAATTACAATACTTAATATTGTGGAAGGAGTGGGTAAGGATTAGACATTGACCTATTAATATATATATATATATTTCGCATAGATTATCCTTAAAAGTGTTTTCTTTTTCGAATATTCTCTCACGCTTAATAATGCCTTGCGTATTAGTGTGGTTATTTTCTTGCATGGAGTAAAATGATTAAAATAAAAGGAAGAAAACCAACGTTTTTACTCGAACAATATCACGGACTTACAAATATTTTCTTTTTTTTTAACTAGAATACCTCTTGAAAAAAAAATTCTTCCTATCTTTCAACATGCAGAGTTGGTTCTTGAATTCTTGTCATTTGTTTTTTAATCTTTCTAAACGTTGCCAATTACCAACGCCAAATGCTTTTGAGACTGCTGCTTTTGTTTGTGAAAAAAAAAATCAAAGATATTTTCAGCACGGTTCTACATCATAGCTCCAGGATTCTTGGACGGATTGATGATAAGAAAGTTCCATGGACATCTGCCAAATCCGAACACAGAAAATGTGACCTTTTTTTTTTTTCTTTACAGAATGTAGGTATTTGTGTTCGCTAGAAATATCAGTGAAAGTTACACGGATTTCGGCTTTTGAATTTTCTGACCAATCATATTTTTTTATTTAAGGATTGAAAACTTTTCCTGTGATTCGGAGTCGTCGTTGGCTTTATTTCAATGAGATTTGTTGTAATCGTCATTCGCTGTTCCACCGTTGGTTCTTTAGGGTCGTTGGCACTTAGTCTCGGATCTCGTTTTGAACCTTGTCGCCACCGAGGACACCACAAATATATACCGTATTATGAAAACGAAAAATAACAATAAAATTATCCGCTCCCCTCGTCCTTTTCCTGTCACCGTTTGGCTCAGCATGTCCTTTTCTTCTTTACTGAATGTAGGTATTTGTGTTCACTAGAAATATCCGTGAAAGTAGTTACACGGACTCCAGCTTTGGAATTTTCTGATCATTCATAATTCTTTATATTAGGATTGAAAACGTTTCCTGTTTTTCGTCGTCATCCTCGGCTTTATTTTGTATTCAAGAACTTAATTTCTTTTTGCTTATCGCTTCCTTTACAGTGACGGAGTTGGTGACTAAATTCGTCGCTGACTTGCAGATTCAAGACTAGAAGCTTCTAGTTTCACCAAAACCTGCCTCCGTCATCCATCTCCTATCACCATTTTGGCGATTTGGTAGGTTGGTGGGGAATGTAAATTGGATTAGAAAAATGTGCCATTGACGTGAATTTGTTTAAGGTTGACCTCAACTTGCAAGGAAGTAACCCACTCACTTGATTTTATGATCTTCCTCTACATATAGAATGAGACATGGAGAATCCAGTTATGAAATTGCTAAGGACTGCCAATAGTTCTGTTATAATTTCGAGTGACGCCTTCTGTAGTATGTCCGTCGGGCGTAGCCCTCTTTTTTCACTGGTCCAAATTTGAGATTTGTTGTAATCGTCATTCGCTTGTTTCACCGTTGGGTCTTTAGGGTTGTTGGCACTTAACCTGGGATCTCGTCTTCGACCTTGTCGTCACCGAGGACACCACAAAATATGTATCGTATTATGGAAACGAAAAATAACAATAAAATTACCTGCTCCCGTCATCCATTCCCAGTCGCCGTTTGGCTCTGCAAGTCCTTTTCCTCTTTACTGAATATAGGTATTTGTGTTCACTAGAAAGATCCATGAAAGTTACACGGATTTCAGCTTTTGAATTTTCTGATCATTCATAATTTTTTATATTAGGATTGAAAACGTTACCTGTGATTCGGCGTCGTCGTCGTCAGTTTTATTTCGTATTCAAGAATTTTTTTTTTCTTTGATGATCGCTTCCTTTATGATGATGGCATTGATGACTAAATTCGCCGCTCACGTGCAGATTTAGGGCTAAAATCTTACAGTTTCACTAATATCTGCTCCCCTCATCCATTCACTATCATCGTTTGGTTTTGAAAGAAAACCAGAGTAGAAGAAAGTGCCGATGGCGTGAATATGTTTAAGTTGGATCTGAAATTACCATAAATTGACCGAAACACTTGATTACATGACCTTCCTCTGAGGCACATAAGGAATGAGACATGGTGAATCTATTGTGAAACTCCAAAGGACTGACGCTGCCGTTGTTATAATTCCAAGTGGCGCCTTCTGTAGTATATCTTTCAATGCGTAGCCCTCTTAATCCCATGGTTCAACTGTTGATATCTGTTGTATTCATCATCCGCTTGTTCTACCTTTGCAATAACAATAATAGACTGTAGGTAATTCAACTAATAATGCGTAGAATATTTCAGTTGATCAAATTTAACAAAATATAGGAAACAATTGTTTTAAATGTTTCATATCTTATTCTTGTAAATTATCTCTTTGTATCCTGATTACAAGCTAAAGTACATTTTGTTAACGAAAGATTATTGCCAAGGAAATTTCAATAGCATTGAAGAAGACAGATTAGATATATTGAATTCTAAAACATGAAAATAATATATTTCTATTTTACGGTTCAATCTATTTTCTTTTTTTCCTCCTGATTTCTATTTGGCGGAAGTAGATGCCATGATCTTGTTACCATTATTACTGCCCTTGTCTTTCTTTCTTTCCTTCTTTCTTTCTTTCTTTCAATTATATGCCTTCCTTTTCTCACTGAAACTGACATCATCTCTGATATCTATTTTCTTTCGCCTCTTCTAAACTGAATGGTTCATTATTTATCTGAAGTAATGGCACAGATTATAAAATATTTTTTGACTTGACAGATATTTCATTTTTTGTCATTATTTCGTGAAAGATTACGTCATGTTTTCTTCACAAAACTAATGTCTATAAATATTATTGTGATTATTATTGTGATGAAATATTATTGTGATTATTATTGTGATGAAATATTATTGTGATTATTATTGTGATGTAGAAAGCCTAGCTTAGATGTGATATAAGTCCAAAAGTATGGATCCATTGATGGATTTTATCAAAATAAACGTCGTATGTTCATTTTTTTTATGCTTCCGTTTTCTCATTAAAAATGAAGATGTCTGAAATAACTTTTTGCATAGACAAAAAGGAATGGCTCATTATTTATCTGAGGCAATGGCAGAGAGCAACGCAACTAGCAACTAAGAAGCAGAATGGTAATATGCGAAGCTATGAAGTGCAGAAATGTTCCGGAAAATAACACAGACGGTAAAGAAAGAAAAGGGATGCTGCTTGTATTAGGTACAATCAAAATGAATGCGTCGTCTTCCTCAGTAATTCCCTTAACGTACGTATAGGTGACATTGTACGAATGAGTATAAAAGTTAGCAAGAGTCTCTGCTTTCTTACATTTTTCAACCGGCAGATGTCGTACTGGCAAAACGTTTCTTGCTTCCCTTCCGGAGATGAAACTTAGTCACCAGGTGAAACAACATATTCGTGCTATTCCCGTCGCACATTGTATAAAAGACACCAAAATATTTCTAAAACGACCTAACCCCCACCGCCATATATATATATATATATATATATATATATATATATATGTTATAATTATCTTTTAAAAAAATGATTCCATTGCTACATAAGAGTTCTCATGTTTCAAAAACAGAAGCTAAATCTTTTTTTTTTTTTTTTTGAATAAAAGCTGCTAGTCCTGTTTCCTCTTCAAGCAAATTTTGGAATAACTAATTTTGAAATTTACGGGCGATAGAATCATCTTTTAAACAAAATAATTATAATATAGACTCTATTGTTGTATTGAGCACTGTTTATTTTTTGTTTTTTTTTAAATAAAAACAGAAATGCTAAAGAACTTTGGATTATTAACCTCACGATTCTTTTCTATTTTTCTATCTTCGTCCACACACACACACGCGAGCGCACAGGCACACACTCAAACATATACACACACACACACACACATATATATATATATATATATATATATACACGCAAACACACATAGATATATATATACACATAAATATGTACACACAGTCATATATATATATATATATATATATATATATATATTAATAAATGTACATATACATACGTTTGTAGTGCAACATAAATACATATATATATATATATATATATATATATATATATATATATATATATATGGTATAGTTATATAGATATGTTAAAATATACGCTATATTTGTGTGTTAAAGTGCTCAATGTTACAGATAGACCACATGCAAATATACAAGTGGATATTGAAGTCAACACTCACCTGAGACAGTTTTATTCTGAACGCAATATTCAAGCCATATGCGTTGTGTTTTTGTTCGACCATTAACATTTCAAAATTATTATTTTGTAACGTCTACTACTACATTCGCTATTAGTATTGTTGTTACCACTTTATGTATCTACCGAAAATAACTACTGCTATTTTTTCCATCGTTTGTACTTTTATTACTACTTTAAAGACAATCACTCCATAACCATCTCTACCACCAGCAATACAGCTTTTTATCATTGTTATTATTACTGTCATGGTTACCCCAACTATTATTATAATAACCATTATCATTGTCTTTTTTGTCATTATTATATGATTGTTTCCATCAACATTAAGTCTAATTTTACCGGTTATCATAAGCAATAGCAAATAAATAGTTATTATCAATATACCAATAATAATATTACTGTTATTATTACTATTAACATAATGACAATCGTTAAAAATCCACCAGCAGTTAGCGTTGGTAATAATACAATCATTATCCCACAGACATAACCTATCTTAACCGGCGAGTGCGCGTACGGGTACGGGAACGGTCTACATATGTGTGCGTATGTGTGAGGAAATGTGAGCTTATCTGACAGGGCAGGCGGCCGATCTGAAAAAAGTCAAATCCACCCCATCTGTACCTTGTTAAGAGAACATTGCTGCATATGTAACCATACAGTCCCGACACCTAAAAAGAATAACAAATGCGTATATATGTATGCTCGAACGCATTGATGTCTGTCTGCGCATAACATCAGATTATTTATATGGGTGCGTTTGTCCGAACTAAAATGCATACACTTGTATGCATGTGTGTCTATATATGTAAGTGTGTCAGCCCAAACAAACACGGAAGAAAATTTCCCCTTCCACCAAACACAAATAATAAAAAAACTAATAAGCATAAATAGATCCACTTTTAAAAAATGATTCAGTTTGTCTGATGATAGCAAAAGCGTGAAACACAGAGTTACAAACTAATATCCATACAACTGAATATATATATATATATATATAGAGAGAGAGAGAGAGAGAGAGAGAGAGACACAGACAGACAGACAGACAGACAGACGCACGGTGGAGTAATGGATAGCGGCTTGGATTGAGAAATCGGAGGGACGAGTTCGAATTCCAGTCGAATTCAATACATTCACTAATACCCATGGAAAAGGCATGAATCCTCTTCTTCTCACTCCAGTTATGGGTAAACAGCAGGACAGACTGGGTTCTATAGCCTTGGATGGCAACTGGTCTAGGAGAAGGACAACTCTGAATTCAAAAGCTGCGGAGGGTGGTTTGGGGATCTTGTGGTACTTAGTGTAGATGGTCCTGCACGAAACCTTCACCACTATAATCAAATCTCATGTGCTGCTGTCGGGCTGTCGGTTTCCTGGGAACTGATCTGCCTGACTCTCATACGTCGAATTCGACGGGAGAGTCGATATATATATATATATATATATATATAATATATATATATATATATATATATAAATACTCGTCTACCCTATTGCAGACTCTCACCCAGGCACATTTTGTTCAACACCCACTGTCGCTAGCAGACCTTAGTTTCTCGGAGAGAGCGTGTTATCTAGAATGATCAACTATCTGAAGAACACCAGCACGCTCAAATCCTCAGCCACGATTATTATGACTTCGTGCTAGCACAGCTGTCGACGGCCCTAAGTGTTCCCTCTGTTTCACTCATAAGCTTGGTTCAGCCGGTTGTATGGTTTTCAGACATTTTTCAAACGTGCCGAATGCTGGGATTGACCCTCTCCAGTCCGATAACATGATGAAATCTCTTTCCAGACAAATCGACTATGGTGAGATTCGAACCCGTGTCTCATGGCCAGAAAGCGGACATTCTAACCTCCTGACAGTTATTTTGTTTAAGGCAAATAAATTATTCTAAAAAGATTTGACAAGATTATACTTAATTAAAGCATGTTGACTTTGACCTGATGCAATGCTTACTAAACATGTCTCGCTGGGTTAATTAAGACTCAGTGGTGATTTCAACCCACATTGGGTGCCTAAGTTTGCGGCCTTCTTAAGGAAAATCACTTTTTGGGCAGTATCTTTCCGTTTTGGTTTGATAACTGCATTTTTAATTACTCAACTCCTGTCGTTGTCTTCGGGCAGATCACAATAAATAAATGAAGAATCCCTGGTCTCAGGGATTCCAACACTGCAGCAGTACCTCCTACATATTTCTGTTTTGTTTTTTTTGGTTGTTTTTTTTTTTTACATTCTTTCTTTATTTTCATTTTTTGTCTTTCTTTTTTCTTTTCTTTCTTTTTACTATTTTTCATTCTTTCTTATTGCCGGTCTTTCTTTTTCTTTCTTTTTACTTGTATTTCTATGTCTCTTTCCTTCTGCTGGTGGGGGTGCGATTAATGGGATATCGATTCCAGCGTATCATTGTTTGCAGGGACATGTCAGGTTTGGGCCTTAACTCAGGTCCACTTCTTGTGCCACATCTCGACCGTAAAAAAAAAACACAAAAAACAAATGAATCAAAGAAAATTCTATTCAAATCTCCATTAGGGGTTGATTCCAGTCCACTGAACAATTATTAAACAAAAAAAAAGCTAAGGAAAATGACACTGAAAGGAAACTTCAGGCCGTGTACTGTTTTTAAAATGACAATTGACGCTCTGATAAAAGCGTGTGAGTGACACTTTGAGACAGACTAAGGCGCCATTCCCCTAGTTGTCCGTTATTACTAAATTGCTAATATTATTTGCAAACGTTGTACGTAAATGAAATTTGGCGACAATAAAGTTGTCTAGGTTTGAATGCAATTTGTATTTTGTATATGTACATAGAAATTTATTGCAATTACATATACACAGAAGGAAAATAAATTATCATTTGTCAGTGATTCGCCACGGAAAGTTTCGAAAAGCAAGACTGGGTTATTTTTCGGTTGGCCTTCCATCATTAGTTGCAGCAAATAACACCGTTCTTGCCACGCAATCATCGGAATTTCAACCGAATTCAGACAATGGTTTCAAAGAACTTTCTAAATGCACGAATTAACTTGAGACCAACCGATAACAACAACGAAGAGTTCCTGGTGATTTTGTCATAAATTTGAAATTGCTGGTTACTTGCGTATTTTGGGACTTTTGTGCTGACAACTTAACGTAAAAAAATCAGACAGTAAACTTCGAGTGGAGCGACATCAATGGATAAATAGCTTTACTTGTTGGTAAATGATGTCTTAACTATTTTTCTTTCTTCTGTTCAACTTTTAGTTCTGGTTTTTGCTTTATTTCTTTTTTGGCAGCCTTCTTTTCTTCTGGGTGCGTAACCGTTTTTTTTTTTTTTTTTTTTTCCTTTCGGTAGCTTTGCTTTTTGACTTGCATTCATTCATTCTGTTATGTCTTGAGATTTTGCGTATCTTGTCATTTTTTAGTCTTTTTTTTTTTTTTCAGTCAGTCAATTCTATTTTAGATTCATTTCTTTCCGGTTTTCATTTGTTACTGTCCACGGCTTCACTCTTGCATTACTTCTGCTTTCTTCGCCATATTTTTTGTAGTTTTTTCTTTCTTTTTTTCTATCTTTCTTTCTTTTTTTTCTCTCTTTTATCTGCCTTTCTTTTTTTTATACTATCTCTCTTTCTTTCTGTCTTTTATTTTTTTATTCTTTCTTTCTGTCTTTTTTCTCTTTTTCATTCTTTCTTTCTGTCTTTTCGTTTCCCAAACTTTATTTGTCTTTTTCTTTTTTCATTCTTTCTTTCTGGTTTTTAATTTTTTTATTATTTTTTCTGTTTTTTTCTCTTTTTCATTCTTTCTTTAATTCTTTCACTTTTTTATTCTTTCTTTCTTTCTTTTCTTTTTCATTCTTTCTTTCTTTTTTCTCTTTTTCATTCATTCTTTCTTTCTTTCACTTTTTTATTCTTTCTTTCTTTAGAGGTTTCTTTTCTTTTTCTTTCCTACTCTTCATAAAGTTTTCTTTTCTTTCTTTCTTTCTTTCTTTCTTTCTTTTTATGACTTTTTGTTTGTTTGTTTCTTTCTTTCATATAGGTTTCTTTTTTCTTTCTTTCATCCTCTATGACATTTCTTTCTTTCTTTCTTTCTTTTCATAGAGGTTTCTTTTCTTTTTCTTTCCTAATCTTCATAAAGTTTACTTTTCTTTCTTTCTTTCTTTCTTTCTTTCTTTTTATGACTTTTTGTTTGTTTCTTTCTTTCATATAGGTTTCTTTTTTCTTTCGTTCCTACTATTCAGAGCTCTTTCTTTCCTCCTCTTTATGATAAATCTTTCTTTCTTTCTTTCTTTCTTTCTTTCTTTCCTTCGTATAGATTTCTTTTTTTCTTACCTTCCTAATCTGTATAGCGCTTTCTTTTTTCCTCCTTATGACTGTTTCTTTCTTTCATTCTTATTTTTTCTTTCTTATATGTTTATTTTCTTTCTTTCTTCCTCTTTATAAATCTTTATTTCTTTCTTTCTCTTCATATAGGTTTCTTTTCTTTTTCTTTTTCTTTCATTCTCTTTATATACTTTTCTTTTCTTTCTTTCTTTTCTTTTCTGTACTTCTTTTTTTTCTTTCATGTGGCTAGTATATTACATTTTCATGTGACACTTATCTTCAGGATATACTTTCGCCCTCTTCCTTTTTATAATAAACTTATATCTCACATATGTCTAGCTTTTCTATAATAACATTCTATCCTTCATACCCACAGCTTCCACGTCATGGATTCTAGAACTAACTCTATCAGTAAGATAAATAAAATTGTACGAACGTCTCCAACCTTGGAATACATTATCACAAAGCGTTTGACAAGTAGACACTTCATTCTATTTGATGATTCCGTCGCAAAAGATCTGCTGTAAATGATTTAGGGAGACGACTTTCATACACGCAAGAATATATTGGCGAAAATATCATATTAATATAATACCTGGTAATCAAATGTTGATATATATATATATATATATATATATATATATATATATATATAACTAATAATAATCTTATAAATATAAGCAGCTATACTTGTCCGGCAAAACATTAGGTGTTTTAGCTTGTAAATGAACAAACCAATACCCAAGGGGAAAAAAGGTTAAAAAAGAAAGAAAGAAAGAACTAAGAACGTGTATTTCCAGCAAAAATAATCGTCTAGAATCAAAGTTCAGAGTTCAAAGAAAAAAACCTCTGACACAAGTAAAGTAAAAATAACTAAGCAAAGTGCTCAATACGCTAAGTAGAGCAAACTAAGTAAGTAAACCTAAACAGCCAGACCTACCTAGGTTTCACCTACACGGAACGTCAGCGTGAACTGGCTAAACAGGTGGGATAAGAACAGAGAATCTAAAGCCTACAACACAAAAACATGACTATGTCACCAAAAAATAAAAAAAAATAAAACGGTGTCACAACAACGGCGGAGAGGATAAACCTTATATATATATATATATATATATATATATATATATATATATATATATATATATAATAAATTGTTTTTCTTTTTGAAAATATGATTCCATCTCGACACAGAAAATTTCCATGTTTCAAAACTGAAACTAAATTTATAAATTTACTTATTAAAAATTAAACTCAAATTCCATAGTCCCGTTGCATCATTAAGCGATGATAGAAATACAATTTCAAAAAAATCTACTTAATTTATAAGTGTATACATTATTAACATGATGAATTGTTACGGAAAATCTATTTAAATTTAGGGGTGGCCGGGTGTTAATTTCGGACTTTGTGAGTGACATATATTTCATACATAAGCTGTCTATTGAAATCAAATTTATAAATTTAGTTTCAGTTTTGAAACATAGAATTTTTCTGTGTCACGATGGAAAAATATTTTTAAAAAGAAAATACTTATAATATCTTGCTCCACTGTTTTGTATCGAGCACTGTTTTTTAAAAAATAAAAATAACTGCTATGAAAACCGGATTCTTATTATTTTAATATATATATATATATATATATATATATATATATATATATATATATATATGAGTTATTACGATTACTTGCATTATTTACGTTATTCTGACTGTTATATTCATTGCCATATTCACAATGTTTCGAGCGTTGTATGCTCCGACCTTCTTCAGGTGATTAGAATTTCGAACGGAACATTTTATTTCGTCCAGTGAGCATATGGGACGAGAATATTCTACCCAGTGGATGAAATAAAGAGGTCGGTTCGAAATTCCAAACAAATGAAGAAGAACGGAGGGTACAACTGCCGAAACGTTGTTAATATGGCTAGATGTGTATGATAATCCGAATAATGTAAACAATGCAAGTAATATATATATATATATATATATATATATATATATATATATATATATATGGGTTAAAGATATATAATTTTTATATCATTATCCCATGAAAATACTCAGAGGAACAATCATGACAAATTGGACAACGTTTTCATTTGACGCGTTTCGTCCTTTAGATATTCATCGGACTAAGTTTATGTTTAGTTTGATGCCACTACGCATGCGCCAGGTTGAAAGGGGGGTGCTAATAATTATAAATTTAAAATAATTTTGTCACTGCTGAAAAAGTCAGCAAATCAGAATATATTGTTCTATAATAGTAACTCTTGAAATTTATCTCAGCTCCGCCTAAAATTTGTCACTTTGTAGTTCTAAAGGAATGAAAGACTTACTTAATACAAGAGAAAACAATAAGCTAAAACTTGGAAGATTATTTTACACTATTGCCTGTAATAATTGCCACAGGTAATACATCGGAGAAACCTCAATAAATGTATATAAAAGTTTATATGAACATAAAAGGGATCGTTTACAAAACAACATATTAAATGCGTTAGTTGCTGATCACAAATTAAATGAGAGGACAATTTATAAATTGGATATGGCTAGAAATTGTTTTAGATCATTCACAGTAAATTTGCGCCCAGGTTCTTACAGCGTTTCACCATTCTTGTCAGATCGTCTTTTATCACAATGTGCGATATTTATAAACAAATGTGATGTAAATATAAAGAAAATGACTGTAAATGAGGCTAGATTCTTGCGATCGTGTAGCCGCATTCAACGTAAGCAAACTTAGCCCCATGAAGTCCCAAAGGTCGAAACATGTAACAGGAAACATTTTCTTCCACTCTGGCATAATTTTCTCTCCTAAAAGATGTAGGTATATAGATAGAGAGAACTGTGATAAATGAGAAGAAACGAACTCAAAAAATGCAGGAGAGGAATGAGGCCGATAAACATATCAATAGACATTAACCCTATTAAGCCAGAGAGGATAAAGCACGGTTGAGCACAAATCTCCATAGTCACGTACACTCGCCATAACACCAAGCCTGATAACTGTATACTAGGAAGAGCAATCATAGCCAAATATTTCTAGCAGCTAAGAATTACCTTTTCGTGAGAGCTTAGACTAGTATTTTTTCTCATTAAATCAAGTCTGAATACGGCAAAACACAATTCCGCTCGTTTGGCAACCCTTCCTGAAAAGCAGATGATCGAAATATTTATCTCTCTTTGTCGACACAAAGAACAGATTTGTCGGTACGTCACAAAAAATGGAGGAATATATTCTTTTATTATTTTTACTCGTAATCATTTCATTCTTTTGGCTTCTTCTGAAGCAAATCGCTTCTTTCCGTTCCTTTCCCGTTGGAGAAATAAAAACCACGTGGGCACAAATAATTAATAGACAAGTCTTCTTCAATTTTGCTCGTTTTTTCACTTTATAAATTTCCTATTTTTCGCTCGTATATTCCTGTTCAGACTTCATCAGAAACGTATAGAAGAAAAGAAATGCCCATGAAAATTTCATGATTTTCCTATTTTAAATTTCTGATGAATTATAATTCTTAATTAAACGAATGGATAAGCTAAGAGTTCTATAGCAATAAAATATCCGGAGAAATTCTGCTATCGTGTCGTTAAATATTTGAGCTTAACTTTAACAAAATATTGCAATAAAAATCATAAACTTGAATGCTGTTCGTTATTTTAAGATGTAAGGGGGTACAAATGAAAACATTTGAAATTGGCAACATTTTCCATTTATTTTCTTTCTAAGTTTCATTTGTTAATTTCTTCGTTTCTTTCTTTCCTTCCTTTTCTCACCGAAATTGTAGCATCACTGATGTTTTTTTTCGTCTTTCCACGGGATCAAAACAAGATAGTCCATTATATATGAGGTGTTGAATGCAGACGTTAAACGCTTCTCTCGTCTGTTCTATTCTTTCTTTCTTTCATTCTTTCTTTCTTTTGTTCTTTACTTATTTATTTTCGTTCTTTCTTTCATTCATTTTATCGCTGAAATCAAGTAAGGCCGCTAATATGGGTTTTCAGTCTTTTCCAGTGATGAAAACGGAATAGTCCATTATATATTAGAGATTGACACGGCACGTTAAACACTTCTGTTTCATTTCTTTATTTCTTTTTCTCATTTTCCCAAGTTGTGGCTCTGATACTTCGTTTCCGCTTGTCCACGCGATCAAAGTGGCATAGTCCATTATTTGTGAGGTATTAGCAGAGTGTTGCGCTCGTGCTATGGGAGAGACAGGCGCAATTATAATAAGATTGTGCGAACCATCTTACGCACGAACATGTACATACAAACACAAAATCACATGTACAATGCCAAACGATCATTGGCTAATAAATCCCTAATAAATTTTCTACAGGCAATTTACAAATCGCAGTATCCCTTTATTTTTTAAGTAGTCAAATTTGTGCACTTTTGGGAGAAGTGGCTCACAGAAACTTCCTTGTCTCCTCAAAGCTCGTTCGCTGGTTGATTGATGCCAACAAATCAGATCGTTTGCACGTGAAAAATAATTTTTCCCGCGCAACGAAACGGAGCCTATAGTTGCTTATTTAAGACAAGATTTTTCTCATCTTAATTAGTGAGACCTCAACTGCTAAACGAATCTACGACAGTTGGAACTCCAGTTCTAACCATGTACCAACCTTCTCACTCACACGCACACCCACATGCTGATGATAATTTGTACACCTTCACTAAAAACTTCTTTTGACACAACAATACTTTTCAACAGTAATATCACAAGAACAATCATATCATGAAACACTCATGAATATTTATCCAGTGAACTTTAAATAATTATCTTACACTAAACTCTTAAATTGCAGTCAAAGAGAGACAACTCTTGATTAATTCAACCTTTCTTACTTAAATGCCGGTATTCTTTCACATCGATATCATACATCTTGTTAATATACATATATTTTATGTACAATATCTTGTGGTTATTCTTCTTGCGTGAGTCCTGTTTTCTTATCAAAGTTAAATTAATGTGGTGAACTCCGACAGAATATATTATATTAATTCATTATATTAAAAACGGATAATAATTAATATAATTATTAGCTTAGGTCGATACACGATTTCCCAGTGCAATACGTAATACAATTATTGCTCAACGACTTCTCTGTGACTCCCTCACGAGTCTTCAGGGGTTATTATTCCGTCAAGCTAGCTCGAACATTCATGAGTCTATCACGCCAAGCATCACAGTCCTGCATCAATTTGGAAGGTCATTAGAGTCGCACTCTGTGTCGTGAAGCAAATCGCTTCTTTCCGTCCATTTCTCATTGGAGAATTATAAACCATGTGGGCCCAAATAATTAATAGACACTTCTGGTCAATGCGGGCGATCAACCCGTCTTGCTCTATGGCTAGATGTCCACAAGAGTAGATCTCTCGCGGTTTCTTATTCTGCTCGTCAGCAGTGTTCTGCAAAGGGTAATCTGCGTTCGAGTAAAATTGTAGAAATATCAAGGATGGTTCCATAAAACTCTGATTTTTTGGGATGTTGTCTCCAAGAGATATTTAGCTCGCAGCATCCGAATGTACTTTCGATCAAACATAGACACGAGGGTTTCAGTTTCAAACCGTGGCGCCCTACGTCAAAACGCCTTTCCAGTGGCTCGGAAGAATCTCCGTTTGAGGGTAGAACTATTTTCAGATTACATCCATTTTATTAACGGTGGCCCAGTCTATTGCTATGCAAACTTTTAGGGCTAATATCATTGCATATTCCCCTTTGAATTTTATAAAGACTTTATAAATACATAGCAAAATAACCGTACCATATGTGACAGCAATATTTAATGTATTGACAAATGGTCGTCTTATAAATGTGTAAGATAGATTCTGGCGAGAAAACTTGTCTATGACGACACAGTGAACCAACTTACTTAGCAGCAGACCAAGCGATTGATTCAATATAATTATTCCACAAAAACATCAGTCTGAGAAATGCAGATGGTTCTCAAAAAAGTTCTCTCAGACGTTTAAAAGAGAGAAGTTTAGTTTTGTCCGGCCTAAAATAACAAAACATTTCTGTCTCCAGTTAACAAAAGATTGTAGTTCATTTTTGAGATCAGCTGTCAATTTGACCTTATCGAATCGATCAGACTTACCATTAAGACTTGAGTAAGTAGTTCTGTCTTCATCGTAGATACCAAGTTAACAGTCGCTAACTCCTCTCATCTGTCCATATTTCTAAAAGAAATGGTAATGTCTCATAGAATATAAATCATCAGCGTGAAAGAATGAAAGACTGATGTGTTTTGAAATAAACAATGGTGTACCCTTGGTTCATCAGTTAAACGAAAGACGATCAAGCGTACACACCAATTTACTCATCGGCTTTCTGTCGCATTCGTTTGCCGTTTTTTTTTTTACGCGTAATCGATTCTGCTTCACTCTTACTTTTGATTTTCTTCATAAATATTCTATACTTTCTTTTATTTTTTTCTTCCATTTATTCATTTTTTTTCTTTCCTTATTTTTCTTTCTTTCATTAATTCTTCTTTTCATTCCTTTTTTCCTTCTCCCTTTCCTTCATTCATTCTTCTTTTCATTCTTTTGTTCATTCATTCTTTCCATCATTCATTCTTCTTTTCATTCTTTCAATCTTTCATTCTTCCTTTCATTCATTTTTCTTTTGCTTTTTCCTTCTTTCTTTGATGCTTTCATTCATTCAATCTTCCTTTCATTCTTTCTTTCATTCATTCATTCTTCTTTTCATTCTTTCTTTCATTCTTTCGTTCATTCATTCTTCTTTTCATTCTTTCGTTCATTCATTCTTCTTTTCATTTTTCATTCTTTCTTTCATTCATTTTTCTTTCGGTTTTTCCTTCTTTCTTTGATGCTTTCATTCATTCAATCTTCCTTTCATTCTTTCTTTCATTCTTTCGTTCATTCATTCTTCTTTTCATTCTTTCGTTCATTCATTCTTCTTTTCATTTTTCATTCTTTCTTTCATTCGTTTTTCTTTCGGTTTTTCCTTCTTTCTTTGATGCTTTCATGCATTCATTCTTCTTTTCATTCTTTCTTTCATTCTTTCGTTCATTCATTCTTCTTTTCATTCTTTCGTACATTCATTCTTCTTTTCATTTTTCATTCTTTCTTTTCATTCATTTTTCTTTTTCGGTTTTCCTTCTTTCTTTGATGCTTTCATTCATTCATTCTTCTTTTCATTCTTTCTTTCATTCTTTCGTTCATTCATTCTTCTTTTCATTCTTTCGTTCATTCATTCTTCTTTTCATTTTTCATTCTTTCTTTCATTCATTTTTCTTTCGGTTTTTCCTTCTTTCTTTGATGCTTTCATTCATTCAATCTTCCTTTCATTCTTTCTTTCATTCTTTCGTTCATTCATTCTTCTTTTCATTCTTTCGTACATTCATTCTTCTTTTCATTTTTCATTCTTTCTTTACATTCATTTTTCTTTCGGTTTTTCCTTCTTTCTTTGATGCTTTCATTCATTCAATCTTCCTTTCATTCTTTCATTCATTCATTCATTCATTCATTCTTCTTTTCATTATTTCGTTCATTCTTTCGTTCGTTCATTCTTCTTTTCATTCTTCCAATCTTTCATTCATTCTTCTTTTCATTCTTTCGTTCTTTCATTTTTTCATTCTTTCTTTCATTCACTTTTCTTTTGATTTTTCCTTCTTTCTTTGATGCTTTCATTCATTCAATCTTCCATTCATTCTTTCTTTCATTCATTCATTCATTCATTCTTCTTTTCATTCTTTCGTTCATTCATTCTTCTTTTCATTGTTTCATTCAATTTTCTTTCGCTTTTTCCTTCTTTCTTTGAAGCTTTCATTCATTCGATCTTCCTTTCATTTTTTCTTTCATTCATTCATTCTTCTTGTCATTCTTTCGTTCATTCGCTTCTTCATTCATTTTTCTTTTCATTCTTTCGTTCTTTCTTTCATTCATTATTCTTCTTTTCCTTATTCCGTTCATTCTTTCGTTCGTTCATTCTTCTTTTCATTCTTTCGTTCTTTCATTTTTTCATTCTTTCTTTCATTCACTTTTCTTTTGCTTTTTCCTTCTTTCTTTGATGCTTTCATTCATTCAATCTTCCTTTCATTCTTTCTTTCATTCATTCATTCTTCTTGTCATTCTTTCATTAATTCTTTCTACTTTTCATTCTTCCGTTCTTTTAATCTTTCTTTTTTCTTTCTTTCTTACTTTTTCCATTATTTCTTTCATTCATTTTTTCTTTCTTTTTATTTTTATTCATTCTTTTTATTTTTTCGGTCTCCTTTTCTTTCTTTATTTCATCCTTCCTGTTATTCTTTATTCCAATCCTTCTTTCGTTCTTTCATTCTTACTTTCTGTCATTGTTTTTTTTTGTTTCATTCATTCTTTCTTTCATTCTGTCTTTTTCTTTCTTTTATTCATTCATTTATTTATTTATTCTTTCTTTCTTATTTTCTTTCAATCTTGATTTCATCATTTCTTTCTTTCATTATTTTTCATTCTATCATTCTTTTCGAATTCTTTATTTCTCTCTTTTCTTTTTCCTTTCTTTTTTGTTCTTTTTTTCTTTTTCTTTTTCTTACTTTTTTATTCATTCTTTCTTTTTATTTCTTTTAGTCTTTCTGTTTTTATTAATTTATTTATTTCATTCTTCCTTTCATTTTATTTTTCATTTCCTTCTTTTTTCCTTGTTTCTTTCTCTCTTTGTTTCTTTCATTGGTTCTTTCTATGATTCATTATTTCTTTCATTAATCCTTTCTTTCTTTCGTACTTTCTTTCATTCTTTCTTTTCCTGCTTCTTTCTTTCATTATTTATTTCATCATTTCTTCCTTTCCTTTTTTTCTTTCTTCCAGGCTTTCTTTCTTCTAGTTTTCTTACATTATTATCTATCTTTAATTCCTTGCACCTCACCCAACCTCTGACCCGACGCCGAGATATAAATGATTTGCTTAACGGTTTACCGTCGGGACAAAAGCGAAATCTGAATATTCCATATCAGATCGAATTTTACGCTGGCGATATCATTGACTGATTGTCACGCAGAAAATTGCTCTAATAATATTTTTCTGCAGCTGTGCCGAGCATTATGATTGGCGAATGAGTTTATTCTACCTGTCGCCAATATCCTATGCATTCCCATTGCAAACATCAAGGCAAGATCAGTATGAAAAACTCTACCTTTTTTTAAAATCTGTCTCAGATATCAAAATAGTTTGATGTTGTCACTAGCAACTTGTAGTAGTTTGTCTGTGTGTGTCTGTTGGGGGTAAAAAGAGTTGCGTGTGTATTAATACTAGTATGTGCATTTGACGATATTTCTGAGTATAAATAAGAATTTATGCGTCGGGTTTGTACGTTACTGTAGTCTTATATACACTTACACACATACACATACATACACACACACACACACATATATATATATATATATATATATATATATATACATAGAACACAGTGTTGCTTACTATGCTTGTCTGAAAAATTAGAAATTATCAGATTTTCTGATAAAACTCCTTATTAAACTAAAGAACTAAATTCACTGTAAATTGTAGGCATAATCTAACTTTTACCTCACAATATATTTAAACTTTTAATCTGATAATACATTTTCTTATTGTAATAATTAGTAGATGAAATGCGGTGCACCTTATATGACTTACAATTCTATTTGTATCATTTATTTTGATTTATTATAGCTCTGTATTGATGTTTAGTTAGTATTATTAACATCTTATATGGATGGACAGGTTTTAGTTAGTATTATGGACATCTTTTATTGATTAGCTAGTCTTATTAATATCTTATATGGATTCTTTTTCCTTAATGGTTGCATATTAATTAGCCAAAGTAGTCTTGTATTTATTTTTTTTGTTGTTTTTTTAAGTTATTTACTAGTTTCTTAAAGGGGGCTTTTACTTATCAAATACACAATTTTATATAAGTAGCTGACCTAGCATATAGCTAATTAGCATTATGTTAAATTATCTCCTTACTTCTTTCACTTTTATTTCTTAGGAAAATTTGAACGCCAGACTTCTATGAATTGTCTGTCCATAATGAAATTGTCTAGGATTTAGATGCGGACAACTTCGCGTCATCACCTACATAAAAAAAAAAATCGGTGAGTTTGAATTTAACGTATGTCACATTCAATTGGCTAATCACGGTAAAGTCTACAGGACTATTTTTAATTCTGATTATTTTTTCTCGAGAATATTAAAAATAATCGTTCTCTTCTCAGTAGTTTAATATCGTTCAAGAAGACACATTTTAGTGTTGCAACATAAATGCAATTGTGTAGCAATTTTTAACATGACTTTGTTTAAATATCCTAATATATATATATATATATATATATATATATATATATATATATTTACAAGCAAATGACACTCATTGGAATAATTTGTTGTTCGATTCTGCAACTTGAGGCTATGGGGACCCTTGTAGGTCAACCCTCTTTATATCTATTTGCTTTGATGTTCTGAGGATGGACATATATCTGCACTTTAAAAATCAATAAATTTAGCATTGCAGAACTACTTGATTGTGTAACTAGGAACATCATCATGGGTTAATACATATTTTGCCCAGGCCGCTCATTGAGTTATTGAAAATCATGGTACCTCAGGATATTGTAATAGGTATCAAAACCTTCATTTTATCGAAGCTTTTAGAACAATATGAGCCGGGGTGATTACTTGGATATGTTACCAAACACCACGATCTAGGCAAGATAGTCGTTCGTAAAGGTGTCATTTGTAGCACATCTTGACAACAGGTAAATGTTTCGTAATGACAATATGATGGTACTGTAAATATTCCTTGTCGGGGGATATATTAAAAGTGGAATCATGCTTCTTGAGGTACATGAGCTTTTATTTTCTTTTTACTGTAATATACCCTTCAGTGACGTCGTTTGGGGATTCTTAACTTTCTGGCCTATGACAGAAGTTCGTTCTTGAAGACGATTTTTCCCCTAGTAGTTAGGTTACGCATGAATAGTTTCGTTTCTTTGCAGTTTCGCTATCTTGAGTAATAATGACGTCCCACCTTCGCTTTTTGTTGCCGTAGTACCCTGTGAGTATATTAGGGTACTCTGCCTCTTTTACGGATGCATTTAAGAATTTGTTCACAGAAAATTCTTACACTGTCATATCAGCTTCTCATTTCCTGAAAATCGGAGTGCATTTTATAGCTGAATCTATTTTTTAGTATACCTGGTGTAACAGCAAAATTGTCCAATCCATGTAACAGCATAATTATCCAATCCCATCAAAATGTTTAATATCAAAGAAGCACTAAACGAATTGAGTTTCGCTTTTTCCGGGGTTCAGATAAGATGTTTAGCCATCTACACACCAGTTTTCGTAAAAATCAATGAAGAGACCTTTGCTCTATTCAGCTAGAAAGAGAACAGGTTTAAATCGTTTTGTGTAAGACCCACCGTCTTCCCAAGTGAACAATGGTGCGAGGAAAAAGATCATTCAGGACTTCAGTAACGTGACCAACATTCATACCCTGACATTCATTTTCAAGGTTCATTCGAAAACCAACAAGAGAACAGTGAATAAGTTTTAAAAAAAGAGGCAACAGTAAAGAGGAAAACTTGGTCAGTAGGTAACAACGAGAAGCGGGAATTATCATTTCAACTTAAAGCTAAAGAGATCAATTAGAAAAGATCCAACTCAATCAATAATAGTTTGACATGTGAAAGAGGAGTTTCAGTTATGACAATCCAAAAGGCAGTGAAAAAGACTTGGAAATTAAATCGTATGTGTAGCCTGTGAGGCACCTTGTTACTCCAGGCAAGAAAGTTAGAAGGTTTGAAAGGGCAAAGATCACCTTGAATAAGTTGGAAAAGGAAAGTTGAATAATATATAATATATATATATGAACTTTATTTCAATATTTCATAAGCTTCTGATCCTTCGCTATGATTAATTAAAGATGAACATGTCATTTTCGTTTATGATCGATTTCATCACGATTCTTCTGTTAAGCTTGGAGAATAACTATAAATTTTTATTGCTTAAAGTAGAGACCGATAATGTTATAAAAACCCCGGAGATTTCCGGTAATATATCTTTAATCATTTCTAAGATGCAACATTTGTGAACATAATCTAACAAATTGAAAATTTTGCTTTTACAGGATTTGGACAATTTTGTAGT